ACAATCTCCTTCTGCATGATTTAGCCTCTGAAAACCCACTAGAGGGTCAGCTATAAGTAAGTGCTGACTCGACAGCAATGAGATAGATAGAGAGATAGAGAGATAGATAGATACAAACAGATTCATCCTAGAGAGGGTTAAACCAGGCTGCTCCTTGGAGGCAAGGATTCTGAAGCTTTGTCTGACATACTTGGGAAATGTTGCAATGAGAGACCAGTTCTTGAAGGGGGATGTCATGCTTGGGAGGGTGGAGGGACAGTGAAGGAGAGGAAGATCCTCTATGAGGTGGATTGATTCAGTGACTGAGGTAATGGGGGTAGGTGTGTCAGAGACAGTGAGATTGGCACAGGACAAAGCAAGGTTTAGGGCTGTTGTACATAGGGTTGCTATGAGTTTCAGGCAACTCAATGGCACATAACAACAAATATATATATATTTGTGTTTCATTGACTATGCAAAGACATTTGACTGTGTGGATCACAACAAACTATGGTTAACCTTGAGAAGAACAGGAATTCCAGAACAGTTGATTGTGCTTATGGGAAATCTATCTATACTTAGATCAGGAGGCAGTAATCAGAAAAGAGCAAGGAAATATTCCATGGTTCAAAATCAGGAAAGGGGTGTGTCAAGGATGCAGCTTTTCTCCATACCTTTTAAATCTAAATGCAGAACAGATCATTCAGGAGGCCAGCCTTTATGAAGAGAATCAGGATTGGAGGAGGTTTCATCACCAACCTATATTATGAGATAACACAATCTTCCTTACTGAAACAGAGTAGGACCTAAAGAATTTACTACAGAAGGTCTTCAATATGGATTGAAGCTCAACATCAAGAAGACAAAGATTCTCACCACTGAGCAAATTGGCAGCACCATGATGGATGGAGAAGAGAATATGGTTGTTAACAATGTCAGTTTTCTCAGTTCCATAATCAACATTCTTAGAACTAGTAGCCAAGAAATTAAAAGATTCATTTCTCTGGGAAAAGTCTGCTGTCAGGGACCACTCCAAAGTGCAAAAAAGCAACGATGTCATTATGGAAAATAAGGTGCACCTGATCCAGGCCATGGTCGTCACAATTATTTGCTATGCATCAGAGAACTGGACAATAACTAGATTTGACAGAGAATTTATGCCTTTGAGTTGTGGTGCTGGAGAAGGGTATTCAACACGCCATGGACTTCCAACAGAAAAAACAGGTTTATCCTAATAATGTACACTGCATTGGAACAGATGAGGGCGAGAACTGTTTAAAAGGAATATATGATTAGGCATTATTTGCATAACAAGAGTCCAGAAGAAGAGTTGCATAGTAAAGTGGACTGGGGGAGCGGGGTGTACAACAATGAAAGAATTTGTTTTTCAAAGAGAAAAGCAAACTGGGGGAGGGGGAGGCAGGGAGGAAAATATACAACAATGAATTAATGGAAATACAAGTTCTCTATAAATTTTCATTAAAAAATCCCAATTAAATAAAAAAAAACCCTACCATCAAACTCACTATAGTCAAGTTGATTCCAGCTCCTAATATCTATCCATCCATTGGGTTTCTGAGGCTATAAATCTTTACAGGCAAAGGCTGCACATCTGTCTCTCACAGAATAGCTGGTGAAGTCCAACCACTGACCTTTTTGTTAGATGCCCAACATACAATACACTGTGTCACCAGGGATCCTCATAGCCATAGCTAAAAGTGTCTCTATTTTCTACACTTGACATTTTCTATCTTGTTTTCCACTTCGCACAATGCACCCCCCAACCTATCCATTCTTCTCTAGAGAAACTGTGTCAACAGTAGTTAAGAACTGTAAGCATAATTTGGAGCCATTCCTCTGGAGAAAGAGGAGCGGTCTCCTTTCATAAAGACTGACAGCCTTGGAAAGCCAGCAGAGAGTGTCAGGGGTCAGAATCGACTGGATTTTGTAAAACCACAAAACATACCATATAAAATAACCTCCCAGGAAAACAAACAAAAAAACCAACAGAGGATCCTGGAGAGAGTGCAACCAGGTTGCTCCTTAGAAGCAATGATTCTGAAGCTCTGTCTCACATACTTTGGGCATGTGACCAGGAGGGACCAGTCTCTGGAGAAAGACATCGTGCTTGGAAGGGTAGAGGGACAGTGCAGGAGAGGAAGACCCCGGATGAGATGGATTGACACGGTACCTGGGATAATGGAGGTAGTTTGTCAGAGACAGTGAGATTGGCTCAGAATAAGACAGGCTTCACAACTATTGTACATGGCACATAGCAATAATAACAACAACACTATCATTCTAAGATAATCCTCACAACTGAGCAAGTAAGTAACATCAAGATACATGGAGGAAAGACTGAAGTTGTCATGGACTTTATTTTACTTTGCTTCACAATCAATGCCCATTAAACAGTCAAGAAATCTAACCATTTATTATCTTGCATTGGGAAAATCCTCTCCCAACGATCTCTCTGAAGGGCTAGAGAGCAAGGTTGTCACTTCAAAGACTAAAGCGCACCTGAACCAAGCTGTTATCAACTTGGGAAACAGAGGTGGGAAGAGGTATATAGAATTAGGCATGAACCAAGAGCAAGGGATTCTTCCAACCTAATACCTCACCATGGATTCAGGAGGAAGTGGACTAGGGGTAGGTAGATAAAAGAAACTCAAATACAGGACAGATGTGAAAAGCATATTTCCTAAGACAAACTAACAGCCTTTGATCCAAGATAGGCCCAAAAAAGATGACTCCACATTTTAACGCTAAAGTAAGAATGACACATAAGAGAAGACACAGGCTGGGGGCTTATATTTCACAAAGCAAACACTGCAGTCCAGTAGGTTTTTACTCAACAGTGACCTTCCACTGGGTCTCCATGATGAATATTTTTTTAAATTATGATGTGAATAAAATTTACAAAGCAAGTTGGTTTTCTGCTCCATCATTCCAATACTCATGATACAGCATGGCCTTTCCAATCACTTTCAATACATCTGAAAGTCAGACAATGAATAAGGATACCAAAAGAAGAATCAGTGCCTTTGAGTTGTGTTGGAGAAGAGTGCTAAATATTACGTGGACTGTCAAAAGAACAAACAATTTTTTTGGAAGGTGTTCCTTAGAGGCAAGTATAGTGAAACTTTGTCTCACATATTTTGGCCATGTCGTCAGAAGGTGCTAATCCTTGGACAAAAAATCATGCTGCAAAGGGTGGAGAGTCAGAGAGAGAGGAAGACCCTCAGTCACATGGATGGACACAGTGACTGCTGCAATGGTCTTGAGTGTATCAGATGATGAAATGGCACAGTATAGGACAGGGTCCACATTTGTCCTTTATAAGTCACTATGAGTGATCCTCAACTTGATGGTACATGTTTTTGTTATGTGTCATGAAGTTGCCCATAACTCATGTCAACCCTATGCACAATAGCTCTGAACTTTGCACTATTCTGAGCCAGTCTCACTGACTCCAACACACCTACCCCCATTGCACCAGCTACCACATCAATTCATCTTAACTGGAGTCCCTCCACCTTTCCAAGCATGATGTCCTTCTCCAAGGTCTGGTCTCTCCTGACCATGTGCCCAAGGTATGTAAGACGGAGCCTCAAAATCCTTGACTCCAAGAAGAAGCTTGGTTTCACCCTCTCCAAGGCAGCCTTCTTTGTTCTCCTGGTGGTCCATTGTGTACTTGACACTCTAGCACCACAACTCAAAGGTTGTGGTGCCACATATCAACAACAAAAACAACAACAATGTCTCTACATAATTACACCATTTTCACTTCCACCCTATGATTCTGATTGCCATTAACACCTCTATCCAATTCTCCTATCTTCTGGGCATATGGACTCCTGCATTTTGTCATTGTTGTTGTTGTTTAATTTTTTCTTATTTTATACTGGTTTACCTACATAGTTTATAAAGTCCATATATATTGTTTTTCACTGCTGTTTTGACCAGCTATGTTTGGTCATTATAGATAGTGACTGCTTCCCTGATCATGCTGTTCCCCTTATAGGTCTATTATATGAATTCCACTTCCAGATAAGAAAATAAAAATGCTCACAACTGCAACAAGAGGCAACTTAAAGATAAATGGGGGGAAGATTAAAATTGTCAAAGATTTCATTTTACTTGGATCCACAATCAATATCCATGGAACCTCTCCACAGGAGAAAGATGGGCCATCCATCCCTTCCATGCAATTTCCTGACTCTGACAACCACTGGAGGATAGCTATGAGTCACTTCTGACTCATCAACACATAATAACAACAACAGCAGCATTATTAGGCTGAAATTTGAGCCATGGAGTGAGTTTTGCTCCAGGTTCAAAGAGAAACTAAAAGTCATAGTCTTGGGAGTTATTAACAGTAAGCAACTGCCTATCTTTCTTGCTCCATAGAATGGCTAGTAGTTTGGAACCATCTTTTAGTGTTTTGGTTGAGGGATGGGAGTGGATTGTTTGGTTGGGGTTTTTTTTGTGGGGTTTTGTTTTGTTTTCCCTTTAAGCCTCTTGTTTAGAGTCAACACGACCTGGAGGAAAGCCTGAGCATTTAAGGTCGGCCCCTAAGTCTCCAGTTTGGAGGCTGATGAGTGAAGCAGTTGGATTCCAAAAGGTGAAGTTGGATGTTATACACCACACCAAGACAGCTCCTGACTCAGGTTGAGCTGGGGAAACTAGTAGTATTTCTTTCAGTTCTGGACTAAGCATGCTCTATGAGTTTCTCTAGAGATATTTTAAACAATATGGAGATCTTAATACTTTAAATATACTTTCAATTTCTCCACAATTTAAAATTGTAAATTGTAATTTGACTAGAGACAGATTCTACTGCACGTGAATAGCAGATGTAAGGTAGTACTATCCCAGAAGAGACAAGGGTAGATACAATAGGAGATCTGTCATGGCTGACGACAGGCAGAGTAAGATCCAATGGACACATGCATAATGGAAAATAGTTCTGAGGTTCCCGCGTTTGTAACAGCCTCGGGCGGGCTGATGACACCAAGTACCTGAAACATCAGGGGTGTCGTTGCTGAAGAGAAGTTGAGACTCTTGGTCATGTGACTTTCAGGATCATACTTTGACATAAACCCTTTGATTATGACCGTTTTGGCAGTCCCTTGTTCACCAATTAACAGCACAGCCTAAATGAAAGGGGTTGAGAAAGAAAGAAAATTTGATGGGGAAGGGAAAGCGTTCTCAGTGGATCAACAAGCCAAAATATACTTTCTCTCAATTTATATTTGAGACATAATTATTTAATCGCCATTGGAAATATTCAAATCCAAAGTGTCTTCTACTAGCTTATTTACAAAATTCAAATACAAATTTGAATAAATTCTTTCAATTTCCTCACCCCCTGCCCCGACCCATCAAATTGTACAACCCAATGATTAATCCTCCCTTCCTCCTGCACATCCACATCCCTCTGCTTCCAGCTTCTCCCACCCCTCCTGGATCCTTATACTCATTCTACAATAACGGTCCTATACAATATTTGTCCTTGTGGGACTGAGTTATTTCACTCAGCATAATGCTCTCCAGTCCCTCCCAAGTTAGGTAATCATTTGCGAGGTTAGTGCTCCTGCATGCTGCATAGTATTCCATTATGAGAATGTACCATAATTTCTCAAATCCAAAATTATTACTGAGGAATAATAAAAGAATTACGCTAAATTATACTAACTTGGGTGAAGAGCAACATGAAACATTCTAAATGAAATGGAGGCTGTCTTATATTTTCAAGTGGGGCTATCAAACACTCTACGTTTAGTAAAACAGAGAGCTGTACCTTGCCCTGTTTGGCAACTGTTTCAATCAGAAAGTCGGTCCTCACATTGTCAACATTTGGCACAAGGATGGAGCTATATTCAGGGGTGATGTGTGAAGGATATACGTACTCCTCTGTGCGTGTGTTCCAGTGCCTCCATTTACCTGCGGTGAGCAGAGGACATTCCCAATGTCACATTCCTGTTAGAAATTTAACTTTTGTCTATAACAAACAGATATGCTTGAAATCATCCCAAGGCACTTTCCAATACCCCTGGCAAAATAAGAGATTGAAGTATATACATATGTGTAACCTCCAGGTCAAAACTTCCCCAAGCATTTCTTTCAAAGTGACAATGTTAACAAAGGACAGTGATGGCTCAGTGACAGTACACAAATCCCCACTGGGAAGTCTGAGGTCCGTCCCTGACCAGTGCATCTCATGCACAGTGACCAATAGTGGGTGCCTGGGTGGAGGACTGGGTGTTGCTCTGATATCTAACAGCTCTCAGCAGAGCTTCTAGACTAAAAATGGACTAGGAAGAAAGGCCTGGAGATCTACTCCATGTACACTGCATTGAAACAGATGAGGGAGAGAACTGTTTAAAAGGGATTTATGATTAGGTATTATGGTCATGACAGGAGTACAGAACGAAGGTTGCATAGTAAGAGTGGACTTGGGAGGGATTGTATGACAATGAAAGAATGTTTCTCTTACTTTTCAAAGAGAAGAGCAAACTGCGGGGGGAGGGGTGGGCAGGGAGAAAAGTGCAACAATGAATGAATGGAAATCCAAAGTCTCTGTAAATTTTCATTGAAATTAATAATAATAAATAA